AATCCCATGGTCAAATAAAAATCACCTTTTACTTAGGCTCATGTTTCTCAAAGACATTTAACCTGAAACCTCTATCAAAGAATCCAAAGCTTAAGGCATAACTTCTGCCTTAAGCTTTCAGCAGCTAACATCTGGAAAGACAGACAGCTGGTAATAAGATCCTGGACTGGAAGGAAGATGGTCCCGAGCCTCAAGGAGAAAAGACCTAAAAATGCTTACAGAACATCAGAAACATTTTACTACATTTTTTTAGTGGAAGTGTAGGGGTGGAGAGGTAGATGAATGAGATGCAGTTCTTGCTCTCAAAGAGTTTATAGTCTGAGAAGAAAACAATAACAGATAAGAATACCTAAGAAGTGAAGAATACCTAACCCAATCTTGGTAGCCAGAGAGAGGCAGAGGCACACCAAGGTTACCAAGGATGGCATCCTGAGAAAGTAATGTCTGAGCTTAACCTTGTAAAAAGAACAGGAATTGGACAGAAGAAGAGCATTCAAATCAAAGGCTACAAACGTAGACACTGAAAGATGCAAATTCAACCATCCTGAAATACTTTCACCCACCAGGCTGGCAAAGACCCAACAGTTTGATAAACGATTTATGGAAAAACAAGTCCTCTTATACAGTGCTGGTGAAAGTAAAAATTTGTGCAATCTCTAAGGGAAGCAATTTGACCACACTTATTAAAATTTTATATGCACATGCCTTTTGACTCAGCAATTTCAACTTTAGGTATTTGTCTTAGAGCTTGATTTACATGTATATGAACACAAATGTTATTATTTTGGAGTGTGTTTAACGGCAGAAGATAAATTAGGACACACAAAAAAGGAGTGAGAATGCTCTTTATGACAATCTCCACAAATACTGTTAGGCTAAACTAAAGGCACATAATAGCTTAAATAGTGTATTATCATTGAATAAAAAGAGATGAGGCAAAGAAAAAAAAATATTTCACTGTGTTGATTTGTAGGTATAGGTTGCTTCTGGAAGAAAACACAAGAAACTGATAGCAGTTACTTCCAGGAACAAACTGAATGACAGGTGACAACAGAAAGACTTTTCATTGTATAATATTTTGTATCTTTTACATTTTGAAACATTTTCTGTGCTACTGATCCATAAACTAAATCAACACAACATCTAATGGAAATTAAAGCAGTTTGAAATTGCCAGAATATGAAATTCAAGACAAGAAGCAGTCAGAAATGAAGGTCAAGAGGTAGCCAGTTCATGAAGGGACTTATCTGCCATTCTAAAGACCATGAACTTGAGGCCAGTGTAACTGGGGACCACATGCAAACCAGGAATAAAACACACACACATCCCTGGAATTCAACCAGAGTCATTAATGTCAGGTGTGTGCTTCAAAAAACCAAAGTCTGGGAATTCTCCACAAACTGAATCAGAGTCTTGGGGGTTAAGGTTCAGGTGTCCACATTTTAACAAGTACTCTAGGTGACTACAGGTTAGAGGGAGCTTCTGTGGAGTTCTAAGCAGAAGAGGGAAAGGGCCAGATGTTCACTTTACATAGACACTCTGGTGACGATTTGTGAGGAATAAGATTCAGTTAGAAGGCTATGGCAGTACTCCAAATCATGCTCTTCAATTTGATTAACAATCACATTGTATATAAATACTTATTGTATACAATATAGCAAAAGTATACTCCCTGACAAAAGTATACCATGGTACACTTATTGCATACCACTGGCAAAAGTATTATCTGCCCAAGAGCTACAACCTAAGCCACAAAATCTTCTTCAGAAAACAAAGGGAAACAAAATCCAATGCATTATACCATCCAAGACATATAGTTTAATCCAATAACACAGCAGATTGTTAAATGAAATTATTCTATCCCATTATGAATTTTAAAAAACAAAACTAAAAATAGAAACCATTAAGAAGGGTTGCCAAGTTGTGAGACTTGGAATAGAGAAGAGGGTAGAAATTGCTGACTTCTTATTTGGTCTGTATTAAAATACTTTTTTCTTGGTTTTCCCTTATTCAGTTCCCCATCCCTGGTCACAGGTGAAAAAGAGTTTTAAATAAAATCTTTCTTTGACCAATGAGGTATGTTTTTGGTGTCAAAATCCTTTCCAAGTCAGTTTTGTTCTATGTAGAGTTCTAATTTGTGTCAAGGACCCTGATAACAGCAGTTCCACATTTGCCAACAGCTACATCTCTTAATGATGCAAGTAAATTGTAATGTTAGTTTTACTAGCCTTTGAAAGGTCATGAGGCAGTAGAGGTAAAATGTTTGACTAGAAATCTGATATCACAAAACAAGCCATTGGTCAATCAATGGGGAAAAGGACAAGATTTTAAAGTAAAGCAATGTAACCAATATGAAAGGGTAAATGAAAGTCAAAATTTTGAACCAGTTTGAAGGTTGTAAACCTATTCTGTGTGTGCCTTATCAACTAAAAGACATTTCCTGTAATTGTTTACATTTCTACAAAGTTAGAAAATCATCAGTCTTCAGGGTGTAAAATCATACTGGCACTGCATCCTTTGTCATTTGCATTTTAACAAATAGCCTAATACAGACCTGTTTTGCATCAAAAAACCATCACCACCACAACAAAAGAGAATGCTTTGACAAAAAACCAAGTTACCATGACACTACAGACACAGCAGCCATGGTGAGACTCAAAAAAGCACTTGGCCATTTTCTTTTATATCCAATTCACATGATTCATATAACTTAATATTTTTTACTCCCCCAATATAACAAACAGTAGTTATCATCTTATCACTCCTATTACAGAATCCCATTTTAGGACAACTTCACACAGCCCAGTCAGTATTCTTCGGCCTGTTACTAATCTCTCATCTGGGCTACATCTAATGCTATTGCATTCTGAGTACTGACCTTGATATAAATTATAACACAAATTTAAATCAGTAAGGAACTTATCCAATAAAACTGTAATGACAACAACATCAACAAAAACTATTCCACTGTCTGGCAATTACAAAACTGGGTATTCTACAGTTCAGGAGCTTTACTTCAAAGCCGGCGCATCCCAAACAGCATTACCTAGCAATAGACAAATATTTACCTATCAGAGATTTCTCCACTCAGAATGGGTACACCTAGGTAGTTTCACTTTTAAGACTTAATGATTTTCCCTACATTTTAAAAGTTTTTTATTAGTGGCAATCTAGTTCAGAGGTTCAAGAGTTAATCCTGAGATGCCACCCATTTTCTTGAGGCCTTGAAAACGTTACCCAGTTTCAAAATGCCAGCAATATAAAGGACTTTGGAGGCTATCTAGTACAGCCCCAGCAATTCACATATTGAATTAGGTAAAGCACTTTAAAAACTGACAATACTATACAAAAAGTATCATTTCCACCTATGAGACCCAGAAAAGTTAAACACACTTCGGAAGTTAACCACAAGGAACCAGGGCCTAGAACTAAGCTCTTCACCCTTAATGCCACATTCTAAACATGCCAAGTGAGCTATTTTTAATTGTTGTGGGAAGCTTATTTATGCATACATATTTATGCATACATGGCATTTGACAGATTTCTAAAAGCTAGACCTTGAAAAATTAGTACAACGCAAAGGGCACACCGCTTTTCCCAAATAGTAACGCTGTACTTTCTTAGGACATTACCATTCCCTTCCTCACCTCCAACTTCACTTCCCAACACAAACTCAACTACTCTAACCTCCCGTTCAAACTCTTTATTCTTTAAATAATGCGAGTGTATTTTATAAACTGCCATTTTCAAATGCTTAGGAAAAATAAATTTACAAATCTAGACATCCATCAGGTGAATGCAAGGACTCTCTTCAATAAACTCAACAAAGAGGCAGGATGTTTAATGTTGACAATAGATTCAGTACTTAAGCAACGATGATTTACAATTTCATTTTGATGCCTCTACAAAATAACTTCGCCGAGGATCACATGATACCAGAGGTTTTCAACAGGTTGTCTAGTCTTGCACAGAATTAAACTAAATTAGTTATGTGCAACTAATTTCAAAACCTTTTGGTGCACAATGCCAACAATCAAGAGATTTCCAAGAGATTTGTCTGGACATATTGCTCATGGTAGCATCGGTCACTCTCCTTCTAAAGGTGGGTGGGGGTACAGGATCACAAATTGTTTTTAAAGTGGGGGGTGGTGACAACAGGAAGATTCAAACTCAGGGTGTTTTCTCCTGGATTTATATATTTTGTAGATATATTAATGAATATATCAAATATGGTCTATTGTGGAGATACTGCTGCACTGGAGTCCCAGGCTTTTTATTTCATACATTACCCAGTATACCAGCCCCTTGTCCTCACATGTCTCCTACATAACGTCTATATACAAGTCAATATTTTCCCCCTTGCCTTCTTAGCACCCAAGACTTCATGCTTTTAAAACAAGCTGGCAGGGTCTATCGACGATCACGTTCCAGTATGGAGAAGGCTCCAGGCTAAAGGGCTTTTCGGATCCTCTCTAAAGGCCTCGCAGTCCTGCAGAGTAAAAGGGGGTGTGTCCTCGGTAGTTTCGTCCCTTTTGCGCCTACGGCCCTCAGCTACGCCCCGGGCCCCTTTTCTCGGGGCGGCCCGGGGAGCTGCTCTCAGGGCGTCCAAACCTCAGGCCACCGGCTCACTTTCTTGGGGTGGGTCCCAACCAGGGAACGAGGGCGGGGTCGAGGAGGGCACCATTGAATCCCCAAACCCTTCACTCTATGGGGCACTCGGCAGCCCCTCTTCGCCCTCCCCGCTGCGCCCCTGCCTCGGAGGTCCCTGCAGGAACACAGCCCCTCTCCCTCGCCCCCGACCTGAATCTCCTTCGCACGCGCGCCCAGAAGCTAAGTGGGCCCAGGGCGAAGCCAGAGGGCCTGGGGGCCGCAAGAGAGGCAGGACGGGCATCTGCGGTGCCCTGGGGAGAGCCTCCCGAGAGGTCCCGCCCGAGGGGGCGAGGCCGCCCCTAGACCCCCGGCCGAGCCCGGGAGCGAAGCAGGGCCGCGCCAGGACCCACCAGCTGCTTCAGGTCCTCCTCCGAGAGCTCCGCGTAACGGTACCGCTGCTGCTCGAACTCGTACCGAGTGGTTTTGGCCACGACCACCACCCGGGAAGGGCGGAAGCCGCCGTCGGGGCGGCTGCCACAGCCCGCCAGCTCGCGCGGCTGCCCCTGCCCCAGGTGCCGCCGGCCGCCGCCGTCACCGCCCAGCCGGGGCCGCGCGGCGGGGCCTCCCGCGCTCGATCGCCGCAGCGCCGCCGCCCGGCCGCCCGCCACGCGACGACAGCTGCCCAGCAGGAAGCCACGATAGCAAGTCATCATGGGCCGAGCCGCGGCCCCGGGCTCGGGCTCCTTCCCTCGGCTCCCCACCACCGGGAGTGCGCGCAGCCCGCGCCGCCCGGACCTCTAACTTCGCGCCGGGCGGGCAGAGGTTAAGTGCCGGGACGTGCGTGGCCCGCGCCGCGAGAGGGACGTGCCCAGACGTTGACGGAGGCGGAGAAAGCGTGGCGATTGGGAAGCGGCCGACCCCGGGCTGGGGAAAGGTGGGCGGGGAAGAGATGGAGGCCTGGGGCTGGTGGGTTTTGTTTGTTTGTTTATTCATTTCCCTCTCGCCTGCTCTGCGGCCGCTTCGCCGCCCGGGGGCGACCTCCCGGCTCCGCCCGCCTCCCAGCGGTCGCTCTTTTCCCGCCTCCAGGCTAACTCTATCGGCCAATCAGAGCCCTCGGCGGCTCCGGAGCCCGCGGGCCCGCGCCATTGGCTGCAGCCTGAGGAAGGGGTGGAATTCTGTTTGGCTGTGGCGCCGCCCTGAGGACTTCATCGGGAAGCCGGTCTGAGTCGGCGCGGGGACTGCCGGTGGGGTTTTGAGCGGCCGTCTGGAAGGTAGTCTGCGAGTACCTCCTTGCTCGGGTTCTGTTCTACAGGCCGACCACGTGTGTGTTGGTTCATTTGCCCAGGGCCGGTGTGATAATAGCTGGTGTATCCGGGGCCGGGCTGGGGGCTGAGGAGGCGGACCCGGCACCTGCTGCACCGTGTGCGCAGCCTGGCACAAAATCCTCTCGGCGTGGGACCCTGTACCAGCCCCGCTGCCCCCCGAACAGCCCTAAGGAACTTGGAGGGTGATGGGTAGAGGAGCCTGGCCGGGTGGAGCATTTCTCCATGGGGAGAGACGGTTGAAACTAGACAGGACAGGAGCACGGTGTTGAGAATGTTAGTCATTCGGGGCCGGGTGCGGTGGCTCACGTCTGTAATCCCAGCACCTTGAGAGGCCGAGGCGCGTGGATCACGAGGTCAGGAGTTCAAAACCAGCCTGGCCAAGATGGTGAGACCCTCGTCTCTACTAAAAATACAAAAATTAAACAGGCGTAGTGGCGGGCACCTGTTATCCCAGTTACTTGGGAAGCTGAGGCAGAGAATTACTTGAACCCGGGAGGCGTAGGTTGCAGTGAGCCGAAATCGCACCACTGCACTCCAGCCTGGGCGGCAGAGTGAGACTCCGTCTCAAAAAAAAAAAAAACAGTTAGTCATTTGGACTTTGTCCTGTAGGTAGGAGTTAGTTATTTGAAGGCTTTTAACAGGGAAGGAGTGAGTTAAAGCAATGTTTGGTGACTATTGATCTGGCTTTGGAATGTTTTGTAGATTGGGAGGCTGTCGGGATAATGACTCGCGGAGTGCTCAGGACCCGGGCTGGGGTGTGATGAGAACAGAAGGAAACATCCCATTGTAAGGGGAGAACCAAATGGCAGTGCACATCCTGGTGTTCAGTTCCTGCAGCTCCTTAGATCCCTTTCCCTGGTACCGTGTTTGCTCCTTTGTGGTTCTGACGCTAACTTGCTGCTGGACTTTGGGCAGATTACTTCATCTTCTTGGGCCTCAGATTCCTCCTCTGTAAAAAGGGGCTTCGAGTGACCCCAAGGTTCTACCAAGTCCAAATCGATTCAGTGAATCTGTGACTCTCCTCAGGAGGACACCAGCACCAGCGTTCATTCGTGGGTTCCCCCCTTGTGCCTGCCGTGTACCAGGTAGCGTATTGGACTGGGAGCGTGAAGCCTGATAGGTGCTGACTTGGTAAAGTTCTGCCACTGATCCGTTCTGACCAAGAGCTTTGCCTCACAGCAGCTGCTAATAGTGATGTGTAGTGTCACAACCTTAATAACCTCAAAAACTTCTAGAGAAGTAACATCTGTAACTATCCTCAGACTCCTTTGTCATCTTACTGTTGTAAACTTCATTAGATATTACGAAGGAAGAAAAGGGAAAAATCATAGATGACACTTAGGTTGGAGGTCAGGGTGCATAGAGGAATGTTAATTGATCCATTTGACAGAAAAAAAAATGAGTAGGGAGGAACTGTTTGGGATCAAAGTCTGTGAGTTTTGTTGCTCATATTTGAAATCTCAGACCTCATTTATTCCCACTTCACAGATAAAAATTCAAATTTTTGGCTCTGTCTCATCTCAGCTACAAACATAGGCATTGACATCTCTGTTGGAATAGCCCTTTGTCCATAGTTATTTGTATCTCATCTTCCACCTCCTCAAAAATGTTTCTTCCTGAAGTCATCCCCTCACAGGTTATCTTGAATTTTCCCTTTCAACTGAGTTTTCCTCTTCAGTATTTAAATATGCTCATGTCTATGACATCCTTAAAGTTTTTCTAAAAACCAAAGCAACTTCTAAACCTGGTTTTTACATATTGCCTGCCTTACCTTTACAACTGATTTCCGAAAGTGTAGTCTGTTCATCATTGCCACATCCCTGCCTCCTAGTCATTCCTCAACCTGTTGTACACTGGCTTCTGTCCACTGCTTTGCTAATTACTACTGTTTCCAAGGTTACTAAATGATCTTGTTGGAACTCAAAAGACTTTTTTCAGTCCTTAAATTGCTTGATCTTTCTCAAGCATTTGAAATGGTTGTCATTTCTTCTTGAAATCTTTTACTGTCTCCCAACACACCAGTCCCTAACAGTGTTTCTCCCATCTCTCTGTCCCTTTTTGACTTATTCCTAAACCCGTCTCCAAGATGGCTTCCATCCTCATCTCCTTGTCTTTTCTCTCCCTCCTCTTTCTTCTTTTCTCTCTCACACACATTCCTGGGTGAGTTCATTCAGTGTTGTGTAATGGAAGGATCTTGGTTCAAATCCCAGTTGTAATGTTTATTAGCTTTGTGAAAGTTGAACCAGTTGTTTAACCTTCAGGAGGCTGCTTCTGCATTTATAAAATATAATTGCTACATTGTAAAATTGTGAATATGTGCACAGATGCCTAGCACTGTGCCCATTACAAAGTAAACACTTAGCAAATATTTGCCCCTTTCCTGACTTCAGCTATTACTGGAATCTTTAGCCCAGATTTTCTCCTGAGTTTCCAATCCTTATCTAGTTTCTTGTTAGATAATGTCTCTTAAATCTTACCCTTATAAAACACATTAGTGGAGATTAAATTATATTTGAGTGTTGCTATAGCTCAGACGTCCTGCCAGGTGTTAAAGATTAAATGATTTTAAAAAAAGCCCCCCCCTTGAGAAGCCCAAAGTCTATGCAGTGATAGAGTTATACAGAGAATGCTACAGAAATTTGGAGTAGCAGGTCTTAAGTCAGCCTAAGAAGAGTTAGAGAAGGCTTTCTGGAAATGTGAAGAGTTAGACCCTAAAGAATGAATAAAGTATTACCCATTCATTATCAGCAAGAATGAGAAGGAAATTCCACAGAAGAAACACCATGAGCAGATGCATAGAAGCAATGAAATAGCCATTTTTAATTTTTAGAGAATTTAGAGAGAGGCAGGCAACACTGGGAAGTGAGGCTAGAGAGGTGGACAAGGGCAAAGACAATAAAAGTTGTGAAAAATCTAGGTTTAGGACTTGTCTTTTATCCTTCACATATTAGGAAACAACCAAAAGGAGAAAATGACACGATTAGCTTTGCAAAAATTGTGAGCAGGAATTTTTTAGAAGAAACACAAACAGTGAATACATACTTGAAAAGATAACCGTATTAGAAATTAGAGAAATACAAATAATGTCATTGTGAAATAATATTTTATATCTACTAGATTGGTTAATAGAAATTAAGAAATCTTGGTAATACTCTAATTATTAGAAAACTGTTATCCTTATCATCAAGTCTTCATTAGGCCAAACATTGGCTAATCATTTCAGTAATTCTTCCTTCCAATGCCATAGTTTGCAAATATAATTTTTTTCTTTTTCTTTTCTTTTTTTCTTTTTTTTTTTTTTTTTTTTTGAGAAAGGGTACTGCACTGCATGGCTCATGTAGCTGCAACCGCCCAGATTCACGTGATCCTCCTACCTCAGCCTCCAAGGTAGTTGGGACTACAGATGCATGGCACTGTGCCCTGCTAATTTTTTGTAATTTTTGTAGAAATGGAGTTTTATACAGTGTTGCCCAGGCTGGTCCTGAACTCCCAGGCTCAGGCAGCCCACCCACCTCGGCCTCCCAAAGTGTAGGGATTACAGATGTGAACCATTGCACCTGGCCTAAATATCATCTTCAAAGTTTCAGATATGTTCATGTATTCATTTGTCAACTCCAAGTATGATGTCAAAAATTAACCAGTACTATGGGTATAATCTGATCATTATAAAAAAACAAAACTGCTGGCATTCATGGATTTAATATCAGCTTCAACTATTCTCAAACAACCAAAAAAAATCTGTAATGTTATTGAGTTTTAAACTCAAACTTGATCCATGGTGAGGCCAGTATGCTTTTCTAGTAAATGAGTCTAATCGACCGTGATTTAATAGCCACATCTCAAGCAAGCTTAACTGTTCACAACATTTTATGGGGAAAATTATATATATATATCACTGATATTCACAATTTGAAGATATACAGAGGTCTTAAAATATATCCTTCCCAACCCCTAGAACCCTTTCCACCCACACTTCATGTACATTCTGACTCTATAAAAGATATATATCTCTCTTTTTATGACATTCAAATACTCTAAGACCTGTATAGCAGGATTCCCCAACCCCCACGCTGTGGATCAGTGTCGGTCCGTGACCTGTTAGGAACAGGGCCACACAGCAGGAAGTGAGTGGTGGACAAGGGAGTGAAGCTTCATCTGTATTTACGGCCGCTTCCCATAATTCTCATTACTACCTGAGCTCTGCCTTCTGTCAGATTAGAGGCAGCATTAGATTCTCATAAGATGCAAACCCTACTGTGAACTTCTCATGCGAGGCACCTAGGTTGCACACTCCATGTGAAACTCTAATGCTTGATGATCAGAAGTGGAACAGCTTCATCCCAAAGCCATCCCCATCCACCCCCTAGTCTTCGGAAAAATTATCTTCCACAAAACCAGTCCCTGATGCCAAAAAAGTTGGTTACCAGTGCTGTATAGGATGTATTCTCCTGGCAACCAAGGGTTCCTTGCTTTGGCAGATGAAAAATAGTATTTTTTTAAGAGAGAACATTTAAATTGTCTATAATTAGGGTAAACAGTTGGTTAAAATATTAAAAGAGAAGAACATTTAGATGGTCTTAAAAGATAAATAATGACATAAAAATTAGTTAAGTAAATT